TTTTTAAATTTGACACATTAGGTTTCCTTCCAAAAAATATTTCATATGGAGTTCTCTTACTTATTGTATTAGTTAAAAGTCTATTTCCTAAATAAGCAGATGTAAGTATGCACTCAGGCCAATATTTCTTATCTATTTTTGCCTCAGCAAGTAAACACCTAGCACGATTTAATATTGTTCTATTATACCTCTCAGCAACACCATTTAATTCATGTGTATATGGAGGGGCTGGTTTTAAATAAATTCCTTCATCTTTAGCTAGTCTGTAAAAATCATTATTAATATATTCACATCCATTATCACATCTTATTTCCTTTATTCGCTTTCCAGTTTGATTCTGTACTAATTTTATATACTTTAAAAAACAATCATAAACTTCACTTTTGTTTTTAATACAATATACTATTGCAATTCTACTGAAATCATCAATAAAAGTGACAAAATATCTCTCACCTTTATAACCAGTTGGGTTCACTGGACCATGGACATCCGAATGTATGATTTCCAACAAATCTTTTGCTCGATATCTGTTATTTTCAAATGGTGAATTACACATCTTATTTTCCAAACATATTTCACATGTTATATATATCATTTTCAATATTAGCAGGAAAACCATCTAACAACTGAAGCTTACTTAATTCTTTTAAACTATTAAAGTTGGTATGACCGAGAATTCTATGCCACAATTCTTTATTTGTCATATTACTAGTGCTTGTGTTTGATTCAGAAACATATTTATTTAAATTTACTTTTCCTGACAATTCAAACAATTTATTTTTCTTTAATGCTACAGCAATTAACTAACTTATTTCTATTTTCATAAATTTCAGCACTACCATTGTTAAAAACTATCATATTATTATGAGAAGTGATGCATGATACACTAAGCAAGTTTTGTTTCATACTTGGTACATAATAAACATTATTAATCATAGTTCTATGCCATTTACCATTGACATTAAATAACATACAAATATTACCTATTTTACTCGCTTTTAAAGAAAAACCATCACCTACCTTAATGTCTACAAAATGCTCTAAATTTCTACTTTGACAATAATATTGTTCATCATTTATAATGTGGTCTGAACAGCCACTATCTAATAACCATGACACTATCGGACTGTTAGCTTGACATTCGCTTATTGAATTTACCTCTGATGACATTACCCTTACATTAAAATTACTTTGACTTGTATTATTCGCTGATGAAGTGCCCGCTGTTCTTCTAAAATTGTTCCTTTGAAATCTTCCTCTTCCATATCCTCTACGGTAGTTATTGTAATTATTTGTATTATTATTACTGAAATTATATCTTAAAGTTGGACAAAATTTTTGAATGTGGCCTGGCTGATGACATTTATGGCAAACAATACCTCTTCTATCTTGTCTAAATTTATTATTTTGTACTGTACCATTCTGTTTAGTTTGAGAACTGAACGACTGTTGACTATAATTTGTAGATTCCTTCTTTTTATATTCCAACAATAGCTTTGACTTTACATATTCCACCGATTGATCCTTCTCTGGCAAAGCGTCCACAATATCCACTATATGTGAGAAACATTCTGGTAAACAAAGTAACAAGTAATTCAGTTTATCTTCTTGTTTAACTTCCTCTCCTGCATATTTTAATTCATTTACATATTTTTCGAAAGTATTAAAAAAATCAACGGGATTATCGTTTTCTTTCATTTTTAATTCTAACAGCTTACGTTTGCATAATAATCTATTTGCACTGCTCATTGCCAAGTACGTTTCATCAAACCTTTTAATCATATTTTTCGCAGATTCTTCCGAAATTATTAATTCAAGTTGCGAATTACTTACACTGTTCACGATGTAGTTTTTTGCTTTTATTTCCATTTTTAGCCAATCAATTTGACTAATATTTTCAGGTTTGCTGTCATACAATATAACCTCATAACAATTTTTCATTTCCAAAAACAATTTCATTCGAAATTTCCATTTGTCGTAGCCGGATCCATCAAAAACTTGCAAAATAAATTCATCCTTTTTATCTGCCATTCTTCAAATCAGTTTTCACAATAATTATATCTCGTTTTCAACATCCAAAATACGGATAACCACGCCTCGATACCATGTTAGAAAATGTGTTTCCGTGGATCAAAATAAATATGCAGCTCTGCTTTCATGATTGGTTTATTCTCTTTAACTTACATCATTTAACACTTTATACTAGGTTTCACATGATACTACTTAATTACAATAATCAACTTAATCATCTTTAAATCACAACTACACCATCTTGACCAATTACACAGAGTAGAGAGTTTTGTCTATGCAGTCACAGAGCAACTAAAACAATAGCAATGTTACAAGGTACAAAATCATATTCTCAACAATAATAAACAGGAAGAAGATTTTCTAAAATTGTTGATTGCTTTCTCATACTTTATATGTGTTTGTTTATTATTATTCCTATTATAATATAAAAGTAAAATACAATCATTGTCTATAAAAGATATTATAGGCATCATCTGTGTACATTTTCGAAAGCCTTCCGTGATACTATCGATATCGATCCTACGGCCATCACTACACACACACTATGTTAGAATGACTTGGACTAGTGGCGCATCGACGAAACGCGCGCGCTGCGCACCGCTAAGCGGCGTTACCCCTCCTCCGCTTCCTCATACTTCACCACCCAAATAGTTAAAAATTCACACTGCATACAGCGCCTTAAAGGTATAAGAATTATTAGATTCTAAAAAGTTCTAAACCCGCTTTGAGCTTGAGCTTTTATATAATGATATTTTTGCCAAATCTGTCGCCCCTTAAAATATGCCACGCTTCGGTCTAGTCTACTTAGCCTACTGCTAAATCCGCCATTGTGCTGGAGTCCTTAGAGTGCGAACACTTATTTTTCTGTTTTCTACACTTGAATTTTCATAATATCGTTTGACGGAGCGAAAAATGAACTAATCTTTTCGTCAGTACTTCCAAAGTCTGATTTGGCGCGTAGGGATGGTCGGGGAAACGGGAACACGTGGACGAAATCTTCCGCAACCCCGGCGCGACTATGGCCTTTATAGAACTCCTCTACTGGTGCTGTGCCGGTGCAATTGGCACAGCACACGAGCCCCATATTGAGAGACAGACATCCCCATGTCTGCCACTCAGGGTCTCACTATCAGGAGGGAAGGTTGAGCGCGTAGGCCAGCCTCCTGCGCCCTGGTCTCCGGCGACGGATTTCCAGGGTGGCAGTTGCTTCTCTTTCTCTCTCCGCGGTCTCCTTCCGGGTGATAACGTCCTCGCAGTATGCGAGGACAGCACCCCACGCCCTCTCGCTGTCAACCATAGCGCGAACCACGGCTAGTAGCGAGAGGTCGTGCCGATACATCACTAGTACCTACCTAATTCATAAGTAATTATACATTAATTCAATTAAAAAATACACTACGAAGTAGCAATTTAAAAGGTGTTCATACAATTACTAGTACCCGGAGGACCGAGCTTTGCTCGGTTTGTTTTTTTTTGGTGAAATCGTGTATTTTGGAAATTACATTTAGATACAAATTACGGAGTAATGAAATATGCATAATATTTTTCGATCTTACCGACGTATCTAATAATAAGAAAATATGAACTGTTGTTTTTCACAAAAGAAAGAACTTTAAAAAAAAAGGGAAAAAAAAAAAACAAAATAACAAATCGACAAAAAATTTAAAATAAAGAAAGCAATGATCTGTAAAAAAAGTAAAAAAATAAATGTGTAAATGATCGTGACGCGAACCACGGCCGTCTACGCGCATACTAAATTTCATGAAAATCGCTGGAGCCGTTTCCGAGATTCCGATTATATATATATATACAAGAATTGCTCGTTTAAAGGATAAGATAGCTTGGTACCTTTGACGGGCCAGAATAAACAAAGTATTTTAGGACCAGCAGGTTTTCTTGGTTGTATTGTCATAAGAGATAATGAGGAATAAATAATTAAACAGACGTTTTTTATTTATGGAATATCTAATATTATAAATGTTTTTCTTCGAAAATAACACAGCCTTTACCTTTACACACCGGTACCGTACCTACGAAAATATAAAAAACTGCTTCATTTTTCTAGCTATTTTTCATATCGAGGCTTATTTTTAAGTTTTTTTAAAAGCTGTAAAAGTCGAAATATATTGATAATATCGTTAACGAAAATCTGTTACCTAATTTGGTAAACTTTTTTAACTTCACCACAATAAAATATAAGAGGCCGTTTAGAATTAATACTCTGTCATATCGATTTGAATAGAATATTAGAGATGTAATATGCTACCCTGTAGGTGCTGGAAACTTCTATGGACTATATCTGGAAACGTCATTTGGGTTATTATAACCTTTTTTACACAGAGCGCAGTCTATTTTATTATAGATTGTTTTTATTATTATTTAAACTCGTAGCACTATTATACGACATAACCTCAAAAACTTTAGATCGAAATATCTTTAATTCTAGAATTTCTTCAATAACAATATGTATGTATGATATATTCAGAAAATTAAATTTGATATTTTTACATATTTTTCGTCTTAAGACGCAAAAAAATTTGTTCAACAAAAATTTGTATGGGAGTTCGCCATAGTCCTTTCATATAATTATGAAAACTTGCAGAAATAGCGTGTTAAAATAAAGCGTGCAAAATTATTAAAATTTATACCTACTTTATAAAATTTGTTTAGAAACTTTTTTTTTTTAATTTAGAACTGGCCAGCACTTGACTGCACATCCCACCTAATGGTAAGTGGCGATGCAGCCTTTGATGGTAAGCGCGCTAGCTCAGTAAAAACCTATTCACTCTTGCCTTGAAGACGCCTACGTTGTAATCGGACGGAAAGACGGACGCCGGCAGGTTGTTCCATTCCTTAGCTTAGATGAATGATGAGGCAAATCGCTTTATTCTTGTTTTGGGAACGTCGACAGCATAAGGGTGGAGCCTCGCCGAACGCCGTCCGATGATGGAAAGGAGCAGGAGGAATCAAATTATGCAACTCCAACGCACACTCGCCAAAATGCATCCTGTAGAAGACCGAGAGGCTGGCTACTCTGCGCCTGTGCTCAAGGCTAGTAAGGTTGGTTTTAACCAAGTTACGGTCACCAATAAGCCTTTCCGCACGTCTCTCCATTGAGTCCAAGGCAGCCAGATGGCATTTTGTAGCCCCAGCCCAGATATGGCAACAGAACTCCACACACGATCGGACTTGAGCCTTGTAAAGAGTAAGAAGCTGCCCCGGTGTGAAGTACCGTCGCACTTTTGCAAGGACACCTAACTTCCTTGCAGCTGCCCTGGCTTTAGACTCAATGAACCGCCCAAAGTTGAGGTTTGAGGATATTTCGACTCCCAACAACCGAAGGCGGTCGGTATACTCCAAGGACACATTTTGGAAAGTAGGAGCCAAGTTGGAGGGGCTCCTTTTTGCGGAAAAAAGACACGCCTGCGTTTTGGAGGCGTTGAATCTCACAAGATTGGCATCGCCCCTTTCAGAGACCGCCTGCAATGTAAGATTCAAACGCTCTACCATGGCCTCTCTTTCGGACTGGATGTAATCTCTACTGATCCTAAGACTCGGTTGGTATCTCTCCACAACTGTGCTGTCGTCCGCGTACCCAATACCGGGCATGAGCAGATCGTTGATATGCAGCAGGAAAAGAGTTGCGGAAAGGACGGACTCCTGAGGAACTCCGGCACTAGTCGTCAATGGCTCGGATGAACAGCCTTCGACGACTACTCGGAGAGACCGCTCACTCAGAAAGTCCTTCACCCAACCGATTAGGCCAGGAGATATGCCATACGCTGGAAGCTTGCTAAGGAGGCTGGCGTGCCAGACCCTGTCAAAAGCCTTCGAGATATCTAGGGAAACCGCAAGTGCTTCACCATTGTTCTCGAGGGCCTCGCCCCAAAGGTGAGTGGCGTACACTAGGAGGTCCCCAGTTGACCGATTTCGGCGAAATCCGTACTGGCGGTCGCTGAGGAGGTCGTTCTGTTCTAGGTACGCCATAAGACGGGCGTTCAATATACGCTCCATAGTCTTACATAGTATGGAGGTAATTGAAATTGGTCTATAATTGGCAGGATCGGCACGACTACCCTTTTTAGGAATGGGCTGTACATTCGCCAACTTCCAGGACTTAGGGACTACTCCAGTCTCAAATGAGAGGCGAAACAGACGTGTCAGAACAGGAGACAACTCGGGTGCACAAGCCTTCAGAACTAACGCTGGTATACCGTCTGGCCCATAAGCTTTTTTCACGTCTAGACTCCTTAAGGCCTTTAAGACTTCGCGGTTTTTTATACGAACCTCCGTTATGGAGGTTTCGCAGTGAGGGAGTGAGGGTGGTGTATTACTCCCAGGGTCCAGACGTGAATTGTGGGCAAATAAAGAGGCAATTAAATCGGCCTTCTCTTTACCCGCATGTGTTAGTGATCCATCCGGTTTTACCAGTGGAGGCAGTGATGGCCGACAAAAGTTGGATTCGACCGTTTTGGCCGCTTTGGCAAGAGACCAAAAAGCTCTGCTGCCAGATGGTTGGGCAGAGAGCTTCGTGCCAATTTGTTGAATACGGTCGAATCCAGCTCGCCGCAACGTCTTTTTATAGGACTTAGCGGCCCGGCTTAAAGCTTCCTTCTTCAGGTTAATGTCCGAAGCTTTGCGGTGTCGAGCTTCAACCCAGGATAAGTACGCCGAATGCTTGTTCTTTTCAGCCTGTGTACATTCAGCGTTAAACCATGGGCGAGCCTTGCCCTCGATAGGTACATCAGCAAACAGGATGAAATACTAGATTGCTTGACGCACCACATCGGTAACGGCTTCCGCGCAGCTCGACGGATCTCCAGAACCAAAGCATATTTGCCGCCAAGGATAAGAAGCAAAAAATTGTCGCATCTCATCCCAATCTGCTGACTTGTATCGCCAAACTCGACGCACACCCTGTGATTTGTGATCCGGTGGAGAATAGGACGACACAGATTTCACCAGACAGTGGTCAGAAGTTCCTAAAGGAGAGGAGACCTGAACACTATACCTGTCTGGATCGGTAGTCAGCAGAAGGTCCAGGCAATTGGCTATGTGACCGTCCACATCTGGTACCCTGGTCGCCTGCTGCACCAGCTGGGAGAGACCAAGAGAGGTAGCGAAGTTCCACGACTCTCTCCCTGCATGGTCGGTCCTCTGGTATGGGAATAACCAGTCTTAATGACAGGCGTTAAAATCCCTCAGAAAGACCAACTGTACAGTAGGATACCGTTGGACTGCCACATCAGCGGCCTCGCTAAGATGAGCGAATAAACGAGTTGTCTCCTGGTCACCGCTGTGCGATCGATAGATACAGGAATAGATGATTTTCTCCACACCTGTATCCACTAACAACCAAAGGGTTGAGAAACTGGAGTCTTCAAGGTGACGGAGACGCTGATAACAGATATCATTGCGGGCGTATACACAGACTCCGGCACGCTGGTGGAAGTGGTGCTCCAAAATATACCCTGGATTGTCCAGGTACGCCGCATCTGTAGGACATCGTATTTGTGTCTCCGTCAAGAAAAGTAGATGCGGTTTGTCAGTCTCTATATGGTGGTGGATAGAACAGAGATTTGAGTGCAGACCTCGAATGTTAGAGAGGTGCACTTGTAAGGAGAGGAAGTGCGTCCGCTGTGTGAACCTACTTTTCTTTTTCGTACTTTTCATTTTGTATTGTGGAGTAAATAGGATGAAAGTTGGCAGTTGTATGAGGCCCTGCGATGTTACCCAACAACGCAACCAGAGTCACAGTATCACAGGGGGCTTGATCTGGAGACTGCGGGGACGCCCGAACCTCCCCAGGGATCGCCATCGGGTCCTCTCACCCGGTCACCAACCGGCACGATGAGGCCACCCTGGGATTATGCACAGTTGGCGGGGCAGCCTTTCGTGTGTGGCTGGCACACTACTTGGGCCCCCTACTAACTGCGGGCGGCCAGCGGAGCACCGTTCTTCGGATCCCGCTACCCTCCATGAGTAAGCACCCAATACTGAAAAAACTGGTACATCATACCCGGCATTCATCACAAGGCAACAGTACAGACCCATCCTCCATACGGCTTCATCAGACATCATGCTGGAACGCGACGAGTCGCTTGGCAGCATGACTTTGTCTGACGGGTGGTAACTTAAAGCCGGCAGCCGATGACGAGGCCTACCACCATATATATAGCCATTCCTTTAGCACTACCCAGGGGACAAGTGTAGGGTATCATAATTGAAGTACGCTCCTACGGACGCGAACGCTTTCGCCCCCAACTGCCTCTTTTATGAAGATTTTTCCCCGAATTCGCAGCCAAAACCTTGTAAAAATAATAAAAATGGATTAAAATAAAACATACAAATGCAATTAAATCATTTATTTTTTCTGTGCCGATTACGGAAAACTAAATATACGCAAAACAATGAAAATAACACTTGTTCACAATCCATCACACAATCTATTATCAATGAAGTAATCTTTTCATCTTT